CTGTTTTGATTACTGTAGCCTTGTAGTATGATTTGATGTCGGGTAGCGTGATACCTCCCGCTTTGTTCTTATTTCTCAGGATTGCTGTGGCTATTTGGGGTCTTTTATGGCTCCATATAAATTTTCAGATTATATGTTCTAGTTCTGCTGGGGTGCATTCTTTGTACGTGCTGGTCTCCTTCCTGCCCCAGGGCTTCCACACACGTCGGACCCCCTGCCTGGAACATTCCTCTACTTGACATCTGGCTAATTCCTTCCCAACCTTCAAATGTCCAGTTCAATCACCTTCCAAGTCCTTCGTCACCCACTAATACCTCCTTCCACCTCCGCTTTTCTTCTCTTGCTGATGCATACCCCACTGACACACTCCTTCATGTGGTCGAGACCCACCTCCCACCAGACCATGAGATCCAGGACGGCCAGGCTGTCTCTGGCCTGGCGCCCCCAGCAGCACCCCCCAGGCACAGTGTCTGGCACACAGCTTGTATCTCCTGGTTTACTGTGTCCTCCCTGTAACTTCAGACAACCCTTCATACTCTCCTGGCCAAAGTACTTAAGCACATTCAAATGTCTTCTTCCCATCTCTGTATCAGCAACAGGAACAAGAGAAAAAAGCCCCTCTTTCTCCACCTTCGGTTGCCGCCCTCACCTCTTCTTCAGTCAATCTGCCTGCAGGAAGCGTCTCAAAGCTGGCCCTTACTCGCTCACTTACTCTTCAAGTCCCGCATTCTGGGCTCTGCCCAACTCTCCACGGACACATTTCTCACTAGCATCTTCCTGACATTCACTCCTCCTCTAGAAAGGCCTTGTTTCCTGGGCAGTTAAGCTCCTACACTGGCCTGATTTGCCTCCTCTCTGGTTATTCTACTTACACGTCAGACTTCCCCAGAGTTTACTCCAGACTCAATTCAGCTCGACACACTCATCTGTTCTCAGGGTTAAATCATTATCTACAGCACTGGGGATCCCCCAAAGTCAGATAAATAATTGTCAACAGTTTCTCTAAAGAGTCTACAAAGCCCTCCCCTCTAAAATTAAGAACTAGTGGGCCGGCCAAGTGGCGCGATGGTTAAGAACTGGCTTGGGATGCCAGAGGGCCCTGGTTCGGATCCCACATCTGAGGGCCAGTGACACTGCCCTCCACAGCTAAGATGCTGAACAACAGCTCAACAGCTCACGGGAGCCGGGCTGCCGTGAGTCCCCTGCGACGGCGTAGGCTGCAGCCCCTGTGGCAGTGGGTTGCCATGGGCTACCGTGTGTAGCCAGCAGCCAGCGTGAGCGGCCAGCAGCCAGCGTGAGCGGCCGTCCAGAAGCCGGCGACTGATCTGCCTCGACCAGGAAGAGCGCAATGATGGTGCCAACTTGGGCCAGTGAAGCAACGTCCTCCACAACTAGACTGAAGAACAAAACGACAGCAACTTGTCTGTTCCCCTTCCCCCAATTCCCCAGCGCTGTTCCCATCCCCCCAATTCCCCAATAAAAATCTTTAAAAAAAAAAAAATAAATAAATAAAATAAAATTAAGAACTAGTTAACGCTAGTATTTGCACTCCAGTGGGCAATCTAACCTGAACAATTATTCTTCCAGCAGGTTAGAAATGGAAAACTAGGATTTAAGAACATAAATGCAAAAAGTGGCTAAAAAGGACAGCTGAAAACAAGCCCCAAACAACCACTGATATTAAAAATGAGGAGAAGCACTAAGGAAAGGCTCCACATTGTAAGCTAACTGTGTAAGAAGGCATACAAATACATTTTAGCAATTTAAAAATGGTCAGGGGGCCGGCTGAGTGGCTCAGTTGGTTAAGACTTGGCTTAAGAGGGGCCGGCCGAGTGGCGTGATGGTTAAGAACTGGCTTGGGACGCCACAGGGCGCCAGTTCGGATCCCACATACGAGGGCCAGTGACACTGCCCTCCACAGCTAAGATGCTGAACAACAGCTCAACCTGGAGCTGGGCTGCCCTGCCAATTCCCCAATAAAAATCTTAAAAAAAAAAAAAAAAAAGTTGGCTTAAGAGCATGAGCTGAGCAACAGGGCCGCAGGTTCGATTCCCACATGGGCCAGTGACATTGCGCCTGAGCTGAGCTGCTGAACTGCCAACAGGTGGCAGGATGGCTCAGCTGGTTGAGAGCACATGCTCCTAACAAAAAGTTCAATGGTGGGCTATGCCCACCCGCAACTAAGACTGAGCTTGGCACCTTGAACTTAAGAGGCCACAAGCTGCTGATGGGCAGCCAGATGGCGACTGGCGCCCTCCACAACTAAGATTGAAGAACAAAAACTTGGCTGGTCCCCTCCCCACCAATAAAATTTTTAAAAAAAGGTCAATAGTAAACCACATTTTGGCACTCAAGGAGTACAGTTTCAGTTAAACTTACATGAAAGACGGAACACCTCACCCCAAATTAGATACAGTAACTCCTCACTTAATGGTGTCCATAGATTCTGTGACTTTAAGCAAAATGATGTTTAATGAAACAGTTTTACCACAAGCTAGCTGATAAGAAATAAGAGTCAAGTTCCTGTGGCATCTCATCAACATTATAATGAAACAATGTTAAAAGAAACATTAATTATTTGAGGATCTGCTATACTTAGTAATGAGCCTAGAAGAAACATGATGTCTCCGAAAAGCAACAGTTAACTCAGGGTTTACTATTATTATTTATCGGATTTTTTACCCTGAAAATGATTCTAGCAGGTATCTCTCCTCTAAGTAGGGATGGAATGCCAATCACATGGATTCTACAGAAGAGAGAGAGAAGAAAACTGCTGTCAACTAATTCAAGATGCCTAATTCCATTCTGAACATGTTTGCAAATTTTAAGGACATGACGAAGTAACAAGAGTCTCTTTCTTTAAAAAATGGAACTTTTAAATGTTTCTCAATTTCACACTCACCTTGAAATCAAACGTGTAGTTTGTATAAGGCATCAGGCCGCTCTCATAGGCACTCTTTAACTTGAAACCATGGGTGATCCTTCCATTGGTCGTCCCATTTTTACCATTACAGTTGAAGTTTGTAAGACTTTCATTATATCTCAGTTCCTTAAAGTCTTTATGATTTGTTTCTACTCCACCAGTGCTCAAATATTCTACAACACCTAGAATGAAAATAAATAGACATTTTTAATGGTTGTATACATACTATAATAAGCTGGTGTATAATATTTGTTAAACTAGTTTTTTATCTTTTTAAATTCAAGCTGTTGCCACTTTTTAAAAAGAATTAACACCACAATGAACATCTTAGTATGTAAGTTTGTACTTATGCTAACTGACTGACTTGGTATAAAGCACCAAGATTAGGGCTCATTGTTCCCTTCTATATACTGGCAGCTCCGGAAGAGAATGCAGCCACCTAATTACACAGCAGGCTCATCAGCCTGGATGCGATTTCCCCAGCTTCCTAAGCATGAGATGGACTCTGCAAATACTTATTTTAGTTTTCAATTAATTAGTCAGCAAGGTTGGACACTTTCCCTTATGTTTGCTATTAAAATACTGTGTTGTTCAATACGGAAATGGGTCTTAAGATCTGTATGATTTGACAAGTCTCTCGTTGCCCCTCAAGATACTTTGTAGCTAAACAGAGGGCAGGAAGCATGTAGAGAAATTGCGAGAGAATAATCCTCAACTGCTTCAGTAGAGGTAATCCCCAGACAGTTTCATGAGATGAACTAAAGAATTACGGATCTTAGATATTAGATACCTTTATTTTCCCTGAAAAAAAACTTCAACACAGTTTCTATCTTATTAATGGTTCCCCTCATTCGTGATGGCAGTGACATGCTACTGAATTTCACCATTGCAAATCTGTGTGCGAGCACGTGCTCATGCATGCACACAAGTTCAAGGAAAAGTATTCTTATGTATACAAAAGAGTATAAACAAGGAGTTGAAATTCAAAAAGAGGAAAAACTTAGTTTCAATATTACACAAGCTATGGTTTATTCACTGAACCAACAATGGAAAAGTATTCAAGAATAAGGCTTTCTGTATTCTACTTTGTGATAAAAATTAAAATCCCTGTTCTTTTTTGTTAAAATCACCTGCCTGATTTGTGTAAATGAAGGATTTCAATTTCCACCTGAGGAATATTTTTTCTAATCAAGCTCACCAAAAATTGAGATCTTGTAAATATATGGTCAAATTTAAACTGGATTATATTACCACATGCTGGAATCCCAGAGAAGCTGTCTTAAAGCCCTTTCAGAGTCTGCATTTATGTAACCAACCTGGGGATAATGAAATATATTTATATGTTCTTTGATGAGTTATTTCAAGTTATCACCTATATATTTATCAAAAATGATTAATGGCCTTCCTTCCTCCCAAAGTTTTTTTTCATAATACTATTTCATTTTCAAAATGGTCCCCCTACTCCACACAAAAAATTTTTATACAAGCTGAATTTGTTTTCACTAAATTCGGAATTAGCAGAAATAATACATTATAAAAACATTTTAAGTTAGAAAGCATTCTATATAAAGTAACATTCTTTTCTTACCAGAGTCTGGCAAAGAGTTAAGATCTGCACACAACACCAGTGGAATATTTCCAAATTCTCCCAGTACACTGGACTGGAGGCTCCGTGAGGCTTTATCAATAATGTTCTTTACTTCTGAGAGAAACATCATTGTTTGAACCAATTTCACATCAGAGTATTCAGGGTCCCAATGCATATGAGCATTAGCCACGAGAATAAGTTGTTTCTCTGTTCCAAGATGTGGCTTTCCAGCTACATTAGATAAAAAGAAAACAAACAGACAAAACCTGCCCATCAGCCCACATATTCTTACAGTATGAAAGTAAGTCATATCTCAGAGTTTGGGGAATAAGAAAAAAAAAAAAGACCCCCAAATTGACCTAACAATCTCCCACCTGATGACTTAATTTACCCTGCAGGAAACCTGAGAAACAGACACCTAAACCTCAGGCTGTTTATTTCCAGCTCAGGGTCTTCATTACTTATCAAAGTAGCCCATTCTATTTGGGACAGCTTGGTTTTTAAATAGTTGTGCCTCCTGGAAACTTCTGGTCTTAGTTCAGATGTATTAAATTGATCCTCACAAAATGAAATCTACACTCTTCTCCTTAGATATATTTAAGACAGTCACTAAGTCCCATTTTTCATCTTTTCTATCCTTCAGGTTAAATATCCGCAGTTCCAAATGTTTCTCAAGTGACAGGAATTTCAATTCTTGGCATGATGGTCACTTTGAATATATTTTTAAATTTAAAATCAGTGGTCGATTTCTCCCAAACTCGAGACCTCTAACGTAATCAGTATGAGTAGGTCAGGAAGAGAATTCGCTTATAGAATATCCTTGCTGCCAAGAAATTACAGAAGAGCATGGAATTCTTCTCTCTGAGCAGTTATTTTAATTAATATTTACTTCAACCTTCCTTTCTTTTATGTAAAACATTCTTAGGAGCAAAAAAGCCTGTTTTTTTCTTTGGCTTTATGCCTTTCAGTGTTTGAAATATTTTTCTTGGCTATGCTTTCTCATCTTAAGCTCTGTGATAGAGAAAACAGGATACGATGTTTTTGAAAAGATTTAAATTCTAAGTTTCTTCAGGTGTTAGACAAGACTATTATTACATGCGAATTTTCTGGTAAATTCTGGAGGTCAACTTTACAGGAAGTGAAAAGGTCACTCACATGACATTTCAATCAATTCCTTTCGAAGTTCCAGCAGGACTGCAACTCCAATGTTATCTTTTGTCATGACTCTGTTCAGCATAGCTTCAGACCCTTCTGAATTTGCCATTGCTAGCTGATTAAATTCAACAGTGTGTTTCTGAACCAAGGTAAATCTAAAACGAAAACAAAAACACACACACACAAACATAAACTGGGAATACAAGGAAAAGCTTTGTGGGAAATGCAGTTTTTCCAAACTTCCTTAACATATATGATGGCATGTAAATCACATTATGGAAAATCCTCCACGTTTCATGCACCATGCTTCCCACCCCATTTAAAGTTGTTCTTAGTCTGTTACTGATACAAATAACATCTTGAAATACTTTTACAACTTAAGATAATGTAGTCACCTTCTGTTTAGGTTTTGTGTTGGAATATTCCATCTTGTAATTTTTAAATAATTCTTTCCTAAAGTCTGTGTTTACGAATTCCTCTACAAGGTGTTTCAAGTAACAATGGAGTTTAATCCCACTGAACACCCTAACAAACAGCAGCCCCTCAACATGTCCCCAAAGCAAGATTTCTGGTGAGTCAAAACAAAACCTCCAAGTCAAAAGCATTATTTTCTTGAGTAATAATACAGTGCCTCATTTTCTTATATGCCAACTAATTTCCATACCCTTGCTCCCCAACCTGCAAATAGAGAAAATTTTCTCTTTTAAAAAGAAGATAACTTACTTCTCTGTCTTGAAGAATATTGCACAGCCATCAACATGCTTTCTTTCTTGCTCTGACATCGTCCTAGCTCTAGATTTAGGACTAAAGAATCCATTATAGCCACGTTCTTTCAATTCTACCAGAAAAAAACTGTAATACTGTTCTGTTTCAACCTCCTGAAAAATTATAAACAGCCAAGTTTATAAACAATCAAAAATCAGTCCTATGCATTAACTTTACATACATAGTTTGAGAGCTTAAAATCATTTTAAAAGGCCAATCTGCAGAATAAAGACTGTAATATCTTTTCAGTGTCATTTATCTGAAACCAATCAGAACACCTAGTTGTTATTTGACAGATACCAGCTGACAGGGTCAATTCTTTGTTGTTTATGAGTAAAGGCTGGAAAGACACACACCTCTCAGCATGCATATTTCCTCACATTTTAGAACTGATGTAGAACAATAAGAGAGGGAGAAGGAACTTTATGTATCATAATTTCAGGCCATGGGAAGAAAGTGGCTTGCCCAAGGTCATGTACGTTATGAGAGATGGACTGAGAACCTACAGGTACTGTGCACCCAGGTTCAAAGCTCTTTCCACTATGTCCTAATTATTCTATCAGCACTGCTGGTAAAGCCAAATCACACCTTGACAATGCCACAATTTTAGTAACATGCCACCCAAATCAAAAACAGTGTGTGGGGGCATTAGGAAGGGAAAGGTGAGTATTTAGCTGTCATAGCAATGCTTAAAACCTAGCTTAACCCATTTGCTTAATTACGCAGCGTAGTGCTCCAAACACAGCAGGTAGGGAGGTAATGCTCTCAGGGTTCACGAAAACAGAAAAGCCAGTATTTTAAGAACTGTTAACGGTGGACTTCTAATGTGCCAATGGGATGCACTCCCAAGTTGCTCCATGCTTTATCAACGTTGGGGCATTTGTGCAATTTAAACAAATATTCTCCTGGTGACTTACCTGAAGACTTATGATATCAGCATTGCAGCTCAAGATTTCTTGAATAATGGCCTTTTTCCTGTAGTCCCAATTTAGTGCCCATGATGGACAGTAGCCGTATAACTGCCGGGTCGCATATTTATCACAAAGAACATTATAGCACATGACAGAAAACAAGGCTGTAGGAAAGATAACTTTACTTATTCACACACGTGGCAGAAAAAAAAAACCCACAATTAATTTCAACAATCTTCACTTAAATGCTAAGATTGACTTTACTGATTCAATACATATTAACTGAAAAGCTACAATAGATCAGATGTGGTAGATTATAAATAAAGTCGAAGAAAGAACAGATACATGAGCAACTTATGTAATGATGTGCTACCTGCTAGACGTATGCACAAAACGCTCCAAGGCTAAGATCTGGAGCCCTCAGCCTCTAAGACCCAGGCTCCTCATGTCTGTGCTCCTCCCACCATTTTACCAATTGTTCATGTAGAATGTGAAAAACTGACAGGATTCTTTCTACAGGTCAATGATTATTAATTCACATGAAAGGAAAGGCTATCACAGACCGAATCCTGTTACACATATCACAGAAGTTCCCTATTTTCACACAATTTAAGTTAAAAGATTAGAGGTCATTAATTCAGCTTCTCTCTCAAAGTAAGTGTTTTAGCTGTCTTACAATTCTGTAGAATCAAATACACTTGGAACATACTAGGGTTCGGAAACTTCCAATAAGAAAGATTTCTGTATATTCATTATAACTGAATTTGATCAATACTTTATAGCAGTGGCACCACTGGAATGTGGGTGGGTAGATTCTCTGTTATGCAGGCTGAGCAGCATCGCCCATCTCTAGCCCTGAGAAGCCAGTAGCATGCCCCCAGTTGTGACAATCAAAAATGTCTCCAGATATTGTCACATGTCCCCTGGGGGATAAAGTCGCCTGGGTGAGCAGCACTGCTTTACAGTGTGCTTTCTAGCGCACAGCAGAAGCCAGGTGAGCAAGCAGTCAGTCTATCATTAGCTCCCAAACCAACTCAACCACAGCATTCTACTGTAACATGGCCCATAATCTAAACCATGCCAACAGTACGGTTAGGTTTAGGAATGGCAAATGAAAATTAGAGTTAAAAAAATAAGGCTACCAACCAGTTGGTCTTGTTCTGTCTGGTTCTTGTAACATAATCCAAGATCTTGGAGGTGGCTGTTCTGTTGAAACTAATTAAATATAAAACATAAAATTAAGCAATGTTCTCACACGGCTTCCTAAAACAATGCTTTAAACAAATGACCACTTACTTCTTTTTGCAGTACCTGCCAAATTATCAAGCAAATAGTTCAGTAGCCTTCTTGTTCCATCTGGTTCCTGATAGAGGTTCAATATATCCTGGGTAAGTGGATTTCCTGGAAATATTTTTAAAATAGGTAAAATGGAACAAAGTACTAAGATATTTTAAAATTAAAAAATATATCAAAATTATCAGATCATCTTTAACAATGTAGTTACTAGTAACATACCAAACTAATGGAAGTATTTTTTCCGTTTTTGAGTGAAGAGTAAAAATGCTTTATACTATGTTTTACAGAGGTAATCCAAAAATGGTTGTTAATGGACTACTGTCAACGTAGAAGATATGCATAATAATAGTGCCCTGTCTCACCCACCCACACTTTCATAATGATCCAAAGCGAGTAAAACTGGACTGTGGAAGGGTGGGAAGAAGGACTAGACAAGGGAAGGATAACAGCCAATACAATAAATCAGAGAATCAAGATTTAACACGTTAAGCGCCATGTCAGTTACCGGTGACAGACACTGTACTTTCCATTCGGACTGCGTCAGTCACCGGTGACTGATGATATACAATTTAAAAAATTATATTTTTCTATTAGGAAAACTAATTTCACTTGAATTGCTTTCACACGTTTCTTCCACCAACATTGTCACTGTTACAGGTAAAGAAAAAAATTTTAAACTGCACTGGAACACGAACCACAGACAACTGACTGAAGAGAAAGCTTATCGGTGAAATGGGATATCGCGGGCTAAACGGAAAGGAAGGCAAAACAGGCTTGGCGCTTAATGTGTTAAGGGTACAACAAAGCTAAGAAGAAAACTTCACAATGAGAAATCTATCAAGCACTTAGATTTTTAAAAATTCTACCGAATAAAGTAACAAGATGGGCAGACTTGGTTTAAGATTAAGTTACTAAGGCAGGCAGAAAATCCCAAAGCTGTGACCATCCGTAAATTCAGTAACTGTTTCATAAGTGCCAACAAATGAAAGCAAAAAGCAATGATTTGCACGTGTCTGTAAGAGAGCCTCATGCTCTCAGAATGACTTCTGACACACATATGAGAAAAAACAGTCCAGCGAACTGCTCTAAATAGCTCTGGTCCACGCCACACAAGCGGTGTGCATTGTTCTGGAAGCCACAGCACCAATGTGAGAGAGACGAATAAATTCTACAGTGAAGGAAGTGACAAAAATGATGAACAATCTTAACCATGACGAATGAGAAAAGGGAAAGGATATGGGAGACAAGAATGATCACAGCCCAGAGAAAAAAGCGGTTTTTTCCTCTTCTCTTGTGAAAGACGAGACTCAAATGGCAGAACGAGGACCAAGAGATTGACTAAGAGGAAAGCCAGTTCAGAGTAGAAGAGGCTGGTAAACATCAGGACCATTTAAGATGAAATGCCCTGCCCTGTGAGGTAGTAGAGCATCCTTCGTAACAGCTGAATTACATGGATGGGAAGAATAGCTACGTTAGTTAACCTTTAAGATCTCATTTAATTTTAGGATTCTAGGAATTACAAGGGTAAAAATGTGCTCCTCTAAGTACAAAGTATGTCTTTGCAGGAAGACAAGCTGATACAATAGTATCATCCCCTCACATGTGTACAGTTATTGATAGCTACCAAAGCCCTGAAATTTTTATTTAATCACAATCCGATGAGACAGGTACAGTCATAACCTAAAAGTTACCAGAACCCTTTGAGACACCTTAAGAAAATGAAGTCAACTAAAAACTTCTCAGTATCAGGTAAGCAGTGCGTTCCAACTAGAACTACACTAATGCCATCTTTCTACCCTTTCTAGCGCAAAAATATTTAGAGGCGACCACTGACTACTTACAACTATGTGATCCTCCCTTCTAAGGTCTTCTTTATTAATTAAAAACCATCCCCAAACAAACATTTGACTCTAATAAATACAGCTGAAGCCAAACAGTGTAGTTCCCCCAATGTTCTGCTTGCTTTTTTGGAATTCCTTTAAATTTAAAATTAATTTTTCTTCATTGCCTGGAAAAACAATATACAAAGTATATTATTTGGGTAAAATAACATACTTTACCCAAGTAGGGTAAAGTTAACAAAAACACAATTCTGGACTTAAAACATGATATTGTGTTATCAGAGGGAAGGAACAAAAGTGAGTAAGAGCAGTTGCTTCTGGAAAGGTGCAGCAGACATACTTTGCCCCATTCCTCCTGCTAAGTTCAACCAAAATCCCTGTAACCTGTGTGAACAAACAAGACTCTGAAATGTAGGGGGAGGCGGATGGCCAGAGACCTCAGGACCTGAGGGGCAACATAGTGGTGAATTGCTTGGGTTTAATACTGGCCTCATACATCCCAGGCATGGAGCTGAGTAAGCCAGCAACATGGAAACGGGCGCAGAAAGAAAAATGCCAACAAAACCCAGAGGACCAGGAAAGGACAGACTAACAAGACAAAACCTTTAAATAATAACAGCTCTGCTCCAGCTAAAAACCAAAGAAACATATGTAGCGCCACCTTACCCCATGTCAGCAAAGGCTATAGTAAGCAGGGAATCTAGACTTCCACCCTTGGGAGGAATTAAGGAGGTGCCAACACCAACTGGGGTAGTGTCAGGAGGCCAGGCGGGGAGCTGGGACTTTTGTCCCCTCCAGGCTGTCAGAACTCCTCCGTCTCCATCCTATGGTGTCAGCACAGACCATGAAGTGGAGCCATGACCTCCCCCTCAACCCACAGTAATGAGGTGCCCTCCATCTCCCTTCTGGGAATGATGGCAGAGGAGGCTGAAGAGAGTTAAGGCTTTTACCATCTCCCAGTTGGTAATGAGGTCACCTCAGTGCAGTAACTGTGGAAACCACACAAAAGCCCAAACTGCCACTTCTACCCAGGGACCCTTAGGTGTCAATAAAGGCTAAGCGCAATCTGAACCGCTGCCTCCCTTGGAAGTATGGAGATGGTGCCCCCTCCAATTTTCCCTGCCAGTGTGGTGTTAGCAAATACCAGCAAAAACAGAAGATTTAAGTAAGACCCAGGGTTTTATAACATAATATGAATATGTCCTTTTTCAAGCGAAAATCACTCATTATACCAAGAACCAGAAGATTTCAAACTCAATGAAAAAAGATATAAAAAAGATTCCAACACTGAGATGGCAGAAAGATTCAAATTTGATCAAAATAGAGCAAGCATGATAAAAATGTTTCAACAAGAAATTATAAACATGCTTGAAATAAGTTAAAAAATTTACTCAGCAAAGAAATGAAAATTTTGACAAATAAACAACATAAAAAAATGGAGGGCCAGCCGAGTAGCACATTGGTTAAGAGTTGGCTTGGGACACCAGCTCTGAGCAGCAGGGCCCCAGTTCGGATCCCACATTAGGGCCTGTGACACTGCGCCCTCTACAGCTAAGATGGTGAACAACAGCTCGACCTGGAGCTGGGCTGCAGTGAGTGGCTGGTGACTGCGTAGTGCAGTGGGCTGCCGCAAAGCTACCATGAGTGGCTGGCAGCCGGCGTGAGCTTCCAAGAGCCACCGTGAGTGGCCAGGATGGCCGGCAAGCAACTGCCTCACCCGGGAAGAGCGCAATGATCACAATACCAACATTGTGATCATTGAAGCGATGTCCTCCACAGCTAGACTGAAGAACAAAAGGACAGCAACTTGTCTGTTCCCCTTCCCGGATTCCCCAACGCTGTTCCCCTCCTCCAATTCCCCAATAAAATCATTAAAAACAAAAAACAACAACAAATGGAAATAGTAAATAAAAAATAGAATAATTGAAATAAAAATCTCAAAAGACAGGTTCAACAGCAGAATAGAGGGTCAAATGAAAGAACTGGTAAACTGGAATACAGAACAATGGGAATCTACCCAATCTGAACCACAGAAAGAAAACAGACTGAAAAAATAAAAAATAACAGAGCCTCAGGGAACTGTGGAACAAATAATTTAATCTGCATGTCCTCAGAGTCATGGAAGCAGAGGACAAAGAGCACAGTGCTGAAAAGGTGCTCAAAGAAACAATGGCTGAAAATTCCCCCAATATGGCAAGAAATAGTAACCTACAAGTTTAAGAAGCTGATAACACCAAAACAAGACAAACCCAAAAGAATCCATACCAAGCCACATCATAATTAAACTTCTAAAAAGTAAAGACAGAAGAAATCTTGAAGACAGCCAGAGAACAAGACACCTTACCTGTAGGGGAAAAACAATTTGAATAACAGCTGATTTTTTATCACAAACCACGGTGGTCAGAAAAAAGTGGCACTATTTTTTTCAAGTGCTGAAAGAAAAAAGTGTCAACGCAGAATTCTACACCAGACGAAAAAAAATCCTTTAGGAATGAAGGAAAAATAAAGATTCTCAGATGACAGAAAACTAAGAGAATCTGTTGCCAGCAGACCTACCTTAAATGAACCACTAAAAGAAGTTCTCTAAATAGAAAGGAAGTGATATAAGAAGGAACCCTGGAATATTTGGAGGAAGGAAAGAATATGGTTAAAGGGGGTGGGGGGGGAATTTAATAGGCTTTCTATCTTTTAAATTTTCTAAATCATCTTTGGTAGTTAATTTTTTTTTTTTTTGGTAATACTGCTTTGTTTCTAAATATATGTAGAGAAAATAAGACATTACATCATAAATAGGGGAAAAATAAAAGGTCATAGAGAGTTAAGGGTTCTATACTTCACTCAAACTGGTTAAAATAACACTAGTAGTCTGTGATGAGTTTGTAGATATAAAGTAATACCTAGAACAACCACTAAAAAAGATATACAAATAAATAATTAAAACACACTACAGACAATGTAAAAAGATGTTTAAGTAACTCATAAGAAGGCAGAATAAAGAAAATAAAAAAGCACAAATAGAAAACAATACATAAAATGCAGACATAAGCTCTAACATATCAATAATTACATTAAGTGTAAATGGTCTAAAAATACACCAATTAAAAGAGACTGGAAGAGTTTATTTAAAAACAAACTATTGTGTTGTCGGAAAACTCATAACACATTTTTGCAACGAAAAACATAGAAAAACTATATCATGACTTTTCCAACAACCCAATATATGCTGTCCATAAGACACACACTTACTTCAAATAACAGTATAAG